TCTTTCTTCTTTCTTCTTCTTCTTCTTCTTCTTCTTCTTCTTCTTCTTCTTCTTCTTCTTCTTCTTCTTCTTCTTCTTCTTCTTCTTCTTCTTCTTCTTCTTCAATAATGATAATAATAACTGAAATAAACTAATTGTGCTAGGCATTTGGCACAACATCCGTTATTAAAATGCTATTCAATAACTTGCCCCCAGTGGCACAGTTACGATCGGTCTCGTATTCAAATAGGTGCTCTGATCTCCTGAGTTTCGGTTCTTCCCTACTCCGGTGCAGTCGTCAGGGCAGGACTAGTTAAGTCGGCCTGTGACCTCTTTGCTGGAACAGTCCCGGCTGAGAGCGTTGCACGGATGTGTCGTCACAGGAAAGCAGAACGGCCCTACGATGCATTCATGCACCTCCCCTTCCCCACACCGAGCCTGTAAAGACATTTTTTAAGAGTCATGACACCTATCAGCCCCAGTAGCTCCATAAGGGCCACTCCTAGGGCTTCCGTTTCTGGCTCCACCCCCATCCGTTTCCCGTAGAAGAATTTTTGTCCCCAACGCCGAGCCGTTGCCCCGCCCTCGCCGCTGCCATGGCGGCAGCTCTGCCGCTCTCCAAGGCTGAGTATCTGAAGCGTTACTTGTCTGGAGCAAATGCTGGCCCGGAAGGAGGTCCAGAGTCGGTTCGGAAGCGGCGCAGAAAACGGCCGAAGCCAGGAGGCGCCGGTGGCAAGGGGTGAGTGGACTGATGGGGCATCGCGCTGCCCCTTTGCGCCCTCGGCCGCAGCTCTTCCTCCTCCCCGCCCGCGCGGCGCTGCGAGCGCTGCCGACCCAGGCCCGGCCCCGCTGCTCCCGAGCCGGCTCTTCGCCGCCGCCTGCAGCTCAGACCTCGTCCTCTGAGCAGTGTCTTCCATGCGTTAAGGCCAGCTAGAACTTAGAACTTCCTTACTGTTTTCCCGCCTTTGTAGCCTTGTATCGTCCCTCGAACAGATTGAAAAGTCGTGCCCTGAGAGTAGTAGAACTAATTAAAAGCCCCAGTGATTGCGGTTTTTTTTTTTTTAATGTTAGAATTCAAAAATCTGTTTCTGGGGCCTTCAAAGTATTAGGAACTGATCTGGAACCAAAGATCTAAGTCCTGTTATTCTTGCCTACTACTAACAGTAACAACTAATATGGGTACAGTTCCTATCATGTGCCTGGCCTCTTTCTAAAAACTTTGACCATATAACTTTCAGGACATTGTGGTGAAGTAGACATTGTTTTAAATAATATACTTTCCAGGTTCGAAAGAGGGATGTGCTGAGACAGATTTCGGATGCAGTGACTTGGCCACTGGAATCTGGAAAGGTTGGGATAGGAGATCCAACATCAGCCCACAGGACAAAAGAAATTATAGACTTTAGAGCAGCGACCCTAAGTTTAGCAGCTTGCTAAGAAGGTACTATTTTGGATACAAGGTCGAAACTCTGGAAGCTAATCCCGTTCTTATACACCATGCCTTGGGTCTGCTGCTTGCTAAGAGCTTAGCAGCTTAGAGAAGTGCTAGATAGAATATAAAGTGTGGTTCACACCCCTCTATGGGGGAACCATCGTGAGCTGACAGTATTATTCTCATATTTCTACTGAGAAAATTCTGTGGCCCATTGAAGTGGGTAGACTAATTCCCTAATTCCCTCTTTGCCCAAATTTACCTTCATTTGGGACTTCAGCATGACATCAATCTTTGTGGTGTTACTAGTTGAGCCTATATTCAGTTAAGGTATGTGGTAAATTCAGTGTGGTTCTTTTTTTTTTTTTTTTTAATTTTTCGAGACAGGGTTTCTCTGTGGCTTTTGGGGGCTGTCCTGGACCTAGCTCTTGTAGACCAGCCTGGCCTCGAACTCACAGAGATCTGCCTGCCTCTGCCTCCAGGAAGCTGGGATTAAAGGTGTGTACCACCAACGCCCAGCTCAGTGTGGTTCTAAGAAGGAGCAATGCCATTCAGGGAACATGGTTTAAGCTTTGGAACAGCACTAACTGGAATCTGAATCCTAGCAGTGCTACTTTATAGCCTGGGTCATCTTGGGCAAGAGAGTTCACCTCTCTGAGACTCGGAGTCCTAGTGGTCCTGAACACTGCTGTTTGTCTGAAATGGCTGTTGTGATTAAAGATGTAGCATGTGTTCCTGGTTTTTCAAATACCTCTTTGCAGCACAGATCACATCCATTGGATGCCATCATCTTTCAGCAGTTGGTAGACTGGTTCCTCAAGTCCACAGGTACTTAAGTTCCTCCACACAATGATACAGTATTTGTGGGTAAACTATTCATATCCTCTTTAAATTGTCTCTAGGCTACTTACAAAACCCATTGCAACTTAGGTGGTGTACTGGCTGGATTTGTGTGTCAACTTGACATAAGCTAGAGTCATCAGAGGAAGGAGCCTCAACTGAGGAAATGCCTCCATGAGATCCAGCAGTTAGGCATTTTCTCATTTAGTGATCAATGTGGGAGGGCCCAGCCCATTGTGGGTGGTACCATCTCTGGGCTGGTGGTCCTGGTTCTATAAAAAGCCAACTGAGCAAGCCATTGGGAACAAGCCAGTAAGTCGCACCCATCATGGTCTCTGCATTAGCTCCTGCCTCCAGGATCCTGCCTGTTTGAGTTCCTTCACTGATGAACAGCAATGTGGAAGTGTAAGCCACTTGGGAGGCAGAGGCAGGTGGATCTCTGAGTCCAAGGCCATCCTGGTCTATGGAGCAAGTTCCGCGATAGCCAGGGCTGTTATATAGAGAAAACCTGTCTTCAAAAACCAAAACCAAAAAACAAAAAGGTGGACAGTGATGGAGTGAACTGACAGTAGGAGTCCATATACACAAAGACTGAGCCATACTTTTGAACTTTAAAAGCCAAAAGGTGAGATGGCCCAATGCTTGCCAACGAGCCTGACAGGCTGAGTTCAATCCTCTGAACCCACATGGTGGAGGGAAACAACTGACTCCTGCAAGTTGTCCTCTGACTTCTATATGTATTCTATGACACACACACACACACACACACACGCACGCACGCACGCACGCACGCACGCGCACACACACACACACACCCCGTCACACATACACACACGATAAATAAATGCCAAAAAAAATAGGTAAGTGTACATAGGCCTGTGTCCCAGAATGAGTTCTTTTTTGAGCCTTTTATTGTTCTCATCTAGAATGCGGATTGTTGATGATGATGTGGGCTGGGCAGCTATTTCTACCACTAAGCCGGAAAAGGAAGAGGAAGAAGATGGAGATTTGCCTGTGGTATGTTATCTTTTGGAGTCTTGTCAGGACTTTGAAATGATCCAAGCATCTCAGCCTTGACTCCCTGGTGTGGGATAGAGCTAAGCAAGGGAAGAGGTGACTTGTAAAGAGCTGTTCGGCACTGTTTTCATCCATGATGCTTATACAAATGGTTCCCAAAGTAGTGATTTGACTGTGTGCAGGTGTTTCAGCATAAATTGTTTTGAATTTTGATCTTCCAGGCTAGCACTGTTTGGGTCTCATGATGGGCAGTGGAAGTGAATCATGTGATCACAAGGAGAAACAAGTAATTCTCTGCATGTAAGAATGACTGAGACTTAGTTTATTTAGTACCAAACACTGCTTAGTGAACACAGAGGATCTCATTCAATCTTCAGAGCAGTCCTTTGAGTTCTGCTTTTAGAAACAAGGGCATTAAAGGTGGTGGTGGTGCACACCTTTAATCCAGCACTCGGGAGGCAGAGGCAGGAGATTCGACCTCATCACTTCCATTAACTACCCACTTATGTTATTAAATTCTACTGCCACCTCAACTCCATTATAACTTATTACATATATAGCTCCTAACTACCAAAACACCCCCTAGTCTCGGGGTATTCCTCTGTAGCCATAGGAGTTGTATACCTAAATATGTAGTCTACAGAGTGAGTTCTAGGACAGCCAGGGCTACAGAGAGAGATCCTGTTTTAAAAAAAAACATGCAAACAAACAAACAAAAGAAAAGAAAGGCATTGAGACTTGAGATACTTTGCCAAAGGTCACACCAAAGCTAAGTGATGGAACTGATGATCTGGGTCTCAGGTCATCCCACATTGAAACCATGTGCCCAGTGCCTGGGGATAGAGCTGAGAAGTAGACTATATGAGGAATGATGGTGGGGACTTGGGGAACAGAAGCACTAGAATTATGACCTGGGTTTGAATTCCACGTTTGCAGTTTGCTAGCCTGTGGTCAATTCACTTCTCCAAGGCACAGTTTGCTGGTCAGTGGCCAGGATTATGGTGAGGATTGAATAAGATAATTGTGAGATAGTGTCTTGCACAGCTGTTCTCTGTAACAACAATTTATTGATGCCAGCCTCTTTGACGGTCTCTCAGTTGGAAAGGGATCAGAGGTCAGAGTTGGGATGGAGGAGAAAAGGTTATATGAGGACAGTTATGTGGGCCCAGTAAAACTAAGAATGTTCTAGCACTCTTCACTGTGGACTGACTTGAAAGGTGAGTTCTCCATCAGGGAGAATTCTGTGAGTGATCGTGATCATTGATTAGGAAGTTTGGAGGTCATCCTTGAACATTCTGTAATTTGGTGTATGGCCAGTAGTTCCCTTTAGTTGGATTCAAGACCTATCATTGTTACTACTCACAGGGAAGGTTTCATAAGGTCCAAAATCTGTGATTAGTGATCGACAAGTTAGGAAGGCAGTGTTCTCACTGTGCATGAAAAATGAAAGTGTAAAGGAATTGAGCTTTTTACTACTCACAGGGAAGGTTTCATAAGGGCCAAAATCTGTGATTAGTGATTGACAAGTTAGGAAGGCAGTGTTCTCACTGTGCATGAAAAATGAAAGTGTAAAGGAATTGAGCTTTTCCCTTACAAGTGGCTGTTGTGTGCCAGCACGATTACTAAAAAGATTTGTAATGATTTTATCTTTGGAGGGAGATTGAATAGTCAGAGAAAGGTCTGCAATTAAGTCATCAAAGTGACAGTGTTCATGGGACAAGAATAGCTGAGCACTACTCCATGTTTCCTTATGGCCACAAGGGTATGTAGACATTGTATGCGCTAGGAACAGGACTGGTTATGGCCCCAGGTTCTTGAGACAAATGCTCCTTGGCCGGATTCTGGTTTTTTTTCCTTACTGTAGTGTCACTACTCCTGTAGGTGGCTGAGTTTGTGGATGAACGTCCAGAAGAGGTAAAGCAGATGGAGGCCTTTCGCTCCAGTGCCAAATGGAGGCTTCTGGGAGGTGAGTATGAACAGCAGATAAATCTAAGCGTCTCGTTTATAAGGTAGGCCCCTATAAGCCTTGCTTTAGAGCAGTGGCTCTTAACCTGTGGGTCACGACCCCTTTGGGGGTTGCCTATCAGATATTGTATTATTGCTATTAGATTATTTCATATTATAAATTACATTATAGATATTTACAAAATTGCAGTTGTGAAGTAGCAAGAAATAATTTTATGGTTGGGGGTCATCATAGCATAGTATTAAAGGGTCACAGCATTAGGAAGCTTGAGGACCACTGCTCTAGAGGAATGCATAGTTTGTTTTATTGTCAGTGATTGTGAAATATATGGTGGGGAAAAGGTGTCAAGGCTTTGGAGGAGGATGTGGAGTTAGAGGCTGACTTGTCAGAACAACTGTTTAGAAGACTTTTAGACCCATTCCTCCCTGGTCCACAACAGGGAGCAGTTGGTAGATAGCAGGACCTTGGGAGGAGTTTATAAGAAACAGAGGAAGAGCACGGAGGCCCAGGCTTCCCACTGTTTTGAAATGAAGCAACTCACAGGAGTCAGGGCCCAGTTTTGTCCTTTTGGTTTATATCTGTTTCCTCTTCTGACTTTTCATAAACAAGGCTCTCCTATCTCCCACTCCCCACTTCTTTTTCTTTTCTTTTAAACTTGAGACAAGGTTTCATAGTCCAGGCCACTGTGCTTGGGTCTTACTTCTTGAGGCCTATTTAACTACAGAATATTCCTAGTGCTTGCTCAATTCTCAAACACAAGTGATGAAAGAATTGGCTCCTAACTGGGATTTGTCTTCCTGTGTTAGCCTCCGTGCCATTAGGCTCACTACCCTGCAGCTCTGATGGAAAAGATTGCGATACAGAAATGCCACTGCACCACAGATCAGTGATTATTCCCTCAGTTTCGGTACATTACCTTGTCACTTAGTTTCATGTGTGAAAATTTTATTCTCGTGACTACTTTATCAGAATTCCTTTCAGTCTGACCCATTATTTTGTGCCTTATGGTTGTTGTCCTGTCTTTTGCATTACTTGTCTGAGAGAGAGACAGAGAGAGAGTGCTTGTACTTCCTTGTCTGCATGTCTAAGAAGTCTCCCAAATGCACATGCCCCCTGTACATAGCCCTTTTTCTTCTGCCTTATTCTCACTACTCTGCCTCAATTTGTTACTAGAGATATCCGCTCTGAAGCCCACCCTCCCTCCCTCCCTTTTTATACATGGGATTGATTGGCCTCATGCATTAGATTCATTGTCCATTTCCTCACTGGTGTCAGTCTGGTCAGATAGGCTGTTCCCCAAAGTGAAGGAGAGTTGATTTGGTTTGAATTATCTGTTTAATAAGAATTCATCAGGTCCTGCCTACCTTTTATTTTTATCTGGGCTGTGGAGCTCTGATGGCAAGTAATAGAGAGGAGGAACTGGAATCTAGAAATGCCCCAGTTGCCAGGACATTTTATCTGCTTTGCCTCTGCAAGTCTACGCTCTTAAACAGCACGTTTCTCCTCAGTGGCATATTTATAAAGATTGCCCATGGACTGCAGAGTCACACAGGTTTAGCTCTAGAGAGTTACCTCACCACCAATTAGCAGTATGACTTTGGCAGTTTACTTGATTCTCTGTGTCAGTGACTTCTTCTATAAAGGGGGACTAGTGAGACTTGAGAAAATTGAGTGATCTGTATAAAGCATTGCTATGCAGTAGATAACAGTTATGCTTGATTTTTCTTTCTTTCTTTTTTTTTTTTCCTATTGATTTCCCTCCTTAAAGGGGAAGCGTAATGACATGGATTAAATGCTTAGTACGTTTCATTTTGATGTGTGCAGGTTTAGTCACTGTGCCTTTTGGAAAAGGAGTGAGCACACCTGTAAATGATCTAGGCTGCATAGCAACAGGAATCACTGGAAAAGGAACTGGATTGGGAATGAAGTGACTGGGGTTGGGGTATGTCTCCTCTTAGTAATGGTGACCATAGGGAATTCCCAGAACCTTTTTTTCATGTCTATTAGACGAAATCACCTGCCTTGATTACTGTAGGTCTTGGGAGGCAAATGAGAGGAGTTACTCTTTAGGTTGTCTGAGAGTGCTGGTTTGCTGCCCCTAAACACAAGAGCTGGGTAGACCTTATGGGCTTTTCGAGTAGTTGAGAGATGTGTGTTTTAGAGACATGTTTTTAAACTGAGTGAGATGTGGACAAAGCACTGGTGGGGATCTGACTGTTTGTTTTTGTGTTTAGACCACAGTGAAGATGGACATTTCCATCATGATGACCAAGATCCATCTCCTCCTAGGAGAGTTCATCGTGACACTCCAGATCCATCTTCTCCTAGGAGGGCCCATCATGACACCCCAGATCCATCTCCCAGGAGGACCTGTCATGACACCCCGGATCCATCTCCTAGGAGAGCCCATCATGATACCCCAGATCCATCTCCTCCCAGGAGGGCCCATCATGATACACCAGATCCATCTCCCAGGAGGGCCCGTAATGATACACCAGATCCATCTCCCAGGAGGGCCCGTAATGATACACCAGATCCATCTCCCAGGAGGGCCCGTAATGATACCCCAGATCCATCTCCCAGGAAGGCCCGTCATGATACACCAGATCCATCTCCTTCCAGGAGGGCCCGTCATGATACCCCAGATCCATCTCCCAGGAAGGCCCGTCATGATACACCAGATCCATCTCCTCCCAGGAGGGCCCGTAATGATACACCAGATCCATCTCCTCCCAGGAGGGCCCGTCATGATACCCCAGATCCATCTCCCCCAAGGAGATCCCGTCATGACTCAGACACATCTCCTCCCAGAAGGGTCCACCATGACTCAGCTACTTCTCCTCCCAGGAAGTCTCATCGTAATTCTTCAAGTGTATCTCCTAGGAGAGGTCATCATGGTTCCTCAGATATCTCTTCCCCAAGAAGGGCCCATAACCACTCTCCTGACACACCCCAACATAGGAGGACTGTTGATCCTTCAGACCCACAGCATCTCAGGAGGCCCCGTCATGACTCCCCTGATTTGGAACTGCCCAGAACCAAAAGCAGTAAAGCTGCAGAAAGATCCTGTAATAAGACTGTACACCAGAGGGGCCAAGAACCCTCTCACCCGTCAGTCTCCAAGAACAGCAAGTACGGGCGTGACTCTGACCTTTCTCCACGGAAATGGCAAGCAAAAGCTCATGTTGGAGCTAAGAAGCAGCTGGATCCTAAAGGTGAGCGTATAGCTGTGTGTAAGAGCTTCATCCCTGAGTATGAGAATGAGTTTCTTTGGAAACATTTTAAAACATGAGAGGCTAGGCTTAGAGTTGAAAAATTACAGGGGCAGGGAGGCAAGTTTTTATGTGCTTTTGCTTACCCTTCCTACCCCATACCCCATAAAAAGGCACTGATGGGGCAGGCGAGGTGGCTCAGTGGGTAAAAGCATTTTCTGTACCAGTGCACTGAAAGGACAAAACTGACTCTGATCTCCATACGTGGGCGCCTGCACTCACATACACACAGAGTAATAATAAATAAAAATGAGAAATCCTGTGTGCGTAGCAAAAGCTTCAGAATGTACAGAAACATATAGACACAGGAAAAGTCTCACAAAATTGTGTCATTTAGACACCATCATTGTTCAAGTTGTAGCCAGTGGCTTTAGGTACTTTCTGGCATACATGCTAGGTGTAGTTGAGCCTGGCTGTGCAAAACATGCATGTTGCATGTGTAATCTTGCTTGCCCCTTCCACTCAATAGTTTTTCCTGGGTTATAGGTGTCTTTATGTTATTATGATTTTTTTTTTTTTAAAAAACCTCTTTATGTTACATGAATTGACTTAGCCATTTCCCTGAGATTGCATGCTTTGGATTACTTCTAGCTTTGCTCTTAGGATATTTGACAACCATCCTGTTGGAACAACTATGGGTTGTTTCTTATCTTAGATCTTTTGGGGATTTAAGTGATAGGTTCCTAGAAAGCTGAGCAGTTGTTTGCTAGGTCAGAATGTTTGGCCATTGCTGTAACCTTGTTAACTACTACAGGGCTGCTTTTCAGTAAGTGAACAGTGACACAGTTATCTAGAACAGGCCTATGCAGAAAGTTTCTTACTCCTTCATTTGCCCTAGCTGCTGTTTTAATTTTAAAATTAAATTACTTTGTTTTTCTTGAGTCTGAGAACATCCAGGCTTTCTTGTCTCTGCCATACCGCAGAGGACTGACTCCAAGCTCTTCTGCTGGTTCTGGACAGGTTGGCAGTATAGATGAGTGTCTGAAATCTCACATGCTTTTCAAAGTCACCAGACACTGGTGGCCCAGAAACAGAGCCACTGACTTTGTTCTTCTCCATGTCACCTATGCTTGTGTTTTGGTTAGTTATGTTTTTTTCATAGGATGACTAAGTAGACACTGTACCCCAGTTTGGTAAGTTCTTATAAACATTCTTCTGATGGGGTTAATTTATTCTCCCTCCCTCTCCCCTGTGCTGGGAACCAGAACCAGGGCCTGACATACTAGGTTCACTTTACTCCTGAACCATCACAGCTCACATCCTTAATGCATTCTTTAATCCCTAGGTTCTCTTAACCACAGGAGATTTCATATAAACACTTTCCCTGGGAAACAGCAAGTCACACTTTGATGGCTCCTTTCTACCTAGGTGTCTGCCAAAAATCCTCTGATTCAGATCTCTCTCCTCCACGGCAAAAACAAAATTCAGGACACCAGGACTCTGATTCAGATCTGTCACCACCACGGAATAGACAGAGACACCGGAGCGCTGACTCTGACCTCTCTCCGCCCCGGAGAAGACAAAGGACCAAATCTTCTGATTCTGATCTCTCTCCTCCTCGAAGGAGTCCCCGTCCCGGGAAGAAGGTAGGGATTTCCAGGACTTGTGTCTTTATCAGAGTGACTCTTCCCTTCTAGCTTTACAGACACCAAAAAGATTGCCACCAGAGAGTCAGGATGCGGTGCAGTAAGTCTGACTTAAAAGCACTTCTGGAACTTTCTCTCTGAAGGCAGCATGTCTCTGGCTCATCTGAGCAGAGGCTTGAGGATGCCTTGTCCAGATGCTTGAAGGTTCTAAGACTTTACAGATACTGCACAAAATGATGCTCAGAATGTCTTGGATTATGGACTGTTATGGATTTCTAGTTTTGGATCAGGAGTGCCCAGCTTGTGCCAGATTTCCCAGGAGGCTCCTGCCTTTTATAGCCTTGTAATGCCACAAGTCTCAGTATCTCCAGAAAGCCTCCCTGTTTTTAATTTTTTGTTGTGAGTGGCTGGCCTTGAACTTCTGACCTGCCTGCGTCTTCCCACCTGATAGGACAGGCAGGTCCTAATAATAAGCTGAGGCTGAGTGCAGTTGGGAGCACAGAACCCCAACTATGATTTAAAACCAATTATAGTTTTAAATCCTACTCTGCTGCTTACTATCTGTGAGACTGGGCAAGAAACTTGATTTCTTTAATCCTCAGCTTCCTTCTTTGTGAAATGTGCATAAGTGAGTTCAAGGCCAGCCTGTACTGTATGGGACCCTATCTTTTATGTATTTATTTATTTTGTGAGACAGGGTTTCTTTGTGGCTGGCTGTCCTGGAACTAGCTCTGTAGACTGGGCTGGCTTCGACCTTACAGAGATCCACCTGCCTCTGCCTCTGGAGTGCTGGGATTAAAGGCGTGCACCACCTCTGCCTGGCTGGGACCCTATCTTAAAAAGAGAAAGAAAACATGCACATTCTTAGCCCCTGCTTTTATGTGTTGTGTGTTTGTGTTTGTGTTTACTTTAAAATTTGATAGTATATAGTATTTCATGCGATTAGAGATTTCTCTCCTATGGTGTGAGCCTATGGTCAATAATGAGAATATGAAACCAGAGGTTTTGGTTTGATTATTGATGATGATCAGACATACATGCAGCTGGCTGCCTCCTGTTTCACTGACATTGGCTGTTGCCTCTTCTCTTGGACAGGCTGTACACACATGTATTCCTCTTCTCTTGCACAGACTGCTCACATGTATTCCTCTTCTCTTGCACAGGCTGCACACATGTATTCCGGAGCAAAAACTGGGTTGGTAACTGATGTTCAGCGGGAGCATCAAGAACTCAAAAAACAGGACCAAGACACCACGACCCTTGGAGGTACAAACATGAGCATTCGGGGGCTTCGTTTGGCTCATGTAGCTCTCTGTCTTTTCTGTTTTTAAGTGTGGCATGTTGTATTTGCTAGCTGAAACTTTTCACTGCTTCCGTGTCTATGCTCTAATTTTTGTTTTTAAGTTTTTTTAAGACAGGGTTTCTCTGTGTAGCTTTGGAGCCTGTTCTGGAACTAGCTCCTGTAGACCAGGCTGGTCTTGAACTCACAGAGATCCGTCTGCCTCTGCCTCCCGAGTGCTGGGAGTAAAGGTGTGCACCACCACTACCCAGCTCCTGCTCTGGTTTTTGTGCATAGTCCAAGTGCTTCTTTCCCTTCCCGTGTGTGTATGTTAGACATACTGCAGACTTTTCACCAGCACCAAGATCTCAGGCAGCTGCTTCAAGTACTGGAGTGTTATTAGATTGTGATGCCTGGTGTTTATCTTAAAAATGTGATTTCCCTTCATAGCCCAGTTTGAATTCGCTGAAACTGTATTCCGAGACAAGTCTGGTCGTAAGAGGAATTTGAAGCTGGAGCGCCTGGAGCAGAGGAGAAAAGCGGAGAAGGATTCAGAGAGAGATGAGCTATATGCCCAGTGGGGGAAAGGGTAAGGGCGCCCCGAGCGAGGTGCTGAGTCTCCTGAGAGACCAGTTGAGATTCTGGGCTTTTTACCTTATTAGTTAGCCTCTGCTGCTACAAAGAGGGAGTTCTCCAGAGTAGCATTGTGATCCCTCAGTGTAGGAGGAAGTTGTCAACAAGGATGCTTTTTTGCCCAGGCTTGCCCAGAGCCGGCAACAGCAGCAGAATGTAGAGGATGCAATGAAGGAGATGCAGAAGCCTCTGGCCCGCTATATTGATGATGAAGATCTGGATCGGATGTTGAGAGAACAAGAAAGAGAGGGGGACCCAATGGCCAACTTCATTAAGAAGAACAAGGCTAAGGAGAATAAGCAAAAGAAAGGTGAGACTTGGAGTTGCTGGAGCTGGAGATGGTTGAAGAGAGAGTTGTCAGAGGGATATACATAGCTTCCCACAGAGGAGGCTGCCCACACAACTGTAATGCCTGTTGAAAGTTTGGGTTCAAAACAGTAGGCACTCTCATGAAGAATTTTCTCCCATTGCCATCCAGCTCTGAATCAAATTATGTCAGTAGCTAATTTCTTTTTTCTCATTTCTGTCTTTAGTGAGACCTCGATACAGTGGTCCTGCACCTCCTCCCAATAGATTCAATATCTGGCCTGGATACCGCTGGGATGGAGTGGACAGGTAGGTGTGATTCCTCTTGCTTTCTTGCTTTGTCTTCTCTTCTGCCTGACTTTCTTTCTTTTCTTTTCTTTCTTTCTTTCTTTCTTTCTTTCTTTCTTGCCTGACTTTCTTTCTTTTCTTTCTTTCTTTCTTTCTTTCTTTCTTTCTTTAGGGATGGTTTCTCTGTAGCTTTGATGCGTGTCTGTAGCCTTGACTGTCCTAGAACTCGATCTGTAGGCTGGCATCAAACTCACAGAGACCCGCCTGCCTCTGCCTTATGAGTACTGGGATTAAAGCTTTGCACTACCACTGCCCAGCCTTCTTCTGCCCTGGTCTTAACTTTTCTTCTCTGTTTTTCTTTCCACCTTTCCTTTGGTCTTTGTTTTTTTTTCCAGATATCTGATATCGTTTAAAATACCATTTATCACTATACTATATACAATATTTATGCTGCTTGATGTGGTGTCCTGTGGTCTTTGTTTTTGAGAGTGTCTCACTACATACCCAGGCTGACCTCCAACTCATGCACCACGTCTTCAAACATTAGTCATGGTTAGTATTTTCTAAGGGTGAGAGGACAGGTGAGGCTTGTGTGCTGGAGCCCTCTCTGAGTTGTGTCTTCAACATTAGTTCTCTTTGCTATCCTAGGAGGAAGTCCCTGGTAATCTCTCAGCCCTGCCACCTCATCTGGTTACTCATTAGTGTCTCACTTGTATACTCAAGCTTCCTGACTGTCAGGACAGCTTTTGCCTAGGGTCTTCCCTTGCCCACACTGAACATTAGCGTTTAGTGTCATGATTTCCAAAGTTTTAAATCTCAGGACCTTTTATGCTCTGTGCTAGTGTTTTGGCTCTGTGGGTAAAGGCATTTGTTGCCAAGCCTAATGATGTGAGTGCAAGTCTTGTTCTCTTTCCTCCACACACTAATTTGAATGTGTGTGTGAGTGTGTGTGTGTGTGTGTGTGTGTGTGTGTGTGTGTGTGTGTACGCACCTGTATGAACAAATAGATAATTTTAAAAGAATTTTAAAATTCTGTTGAGGATTCCAAGAATTTTTTTTTTTGTTTTTGTTTTGTGGATTATATATTTATAGTCACTATATTTAAAATTATTATTTTTTTTTTTTCCGAGACAGGGTTTCTCTGTGTATCTTTGGAGCCTATCCTGGCACTCGCTTTGGAGACCAGGCTGGCCTCGAACTCACAGAAATCCGCCTGCCTCTGCCACCCGAGTGCTGGGATTAAAGGTGTGTGCCACCAACGCCCAGCCAAAAATTAAAATATATTTTAAAAGCACTTATTCACTATATAAAATAGTAAAGCTTCTATATGCTAATATAATTACTGTTACTTTTAATGAAAAGCAGTTATTTTCTAAAAAAAAAACCAGAAGGAGAGAATTGATTTAACTTTTTGTAAATATAATAGACAACTGGGTTCTGAATTTGTGTATTGTGATGTGTTTAGCTGGGGTGCAGGAACAAAGTACAGCCTGCCATATCACCAGCAGAAAAGGGAGGTGCGACAGAAAGAACAAGCTAGCTCCTTTAAGGCTGTTATGTGGGTCTGAAACATGTAAAGAACTTTCGATACTTTTGCATTAAAACTTATGATTATTGTGCCCCCCCCCCCCTTGAGACAGGGTCTCTCTGTAGTCTTGGCGCTCACCTGGCTCTCACTTATTATAGACCAGGTTGGCCTTGAACTCATGGAGATCTACCTGCCAAGTCCTGGGGTTAAAGGCATGTGCCACCATGTCAGCATAATTCATGGTCTCCCTACCCTCCCACCCCTCTTAAATTTATTTTTGTGTGTGGTTGTTTTGCCTGCATGTATGTCTGTGCAGGAAGAATGCTTGGCAGCCAGAAGAAGGCGCCCCTGGGACTGGAATTACAGCACAGTGCTGGGACAAGAGCAGCCAGTGCTCTTAATCCCTGAGCCCTGTCTCCAGCCTATAGTCTTTTTTATATTTTGCATCTTTTACCCTTGCGTGGTATTATTTCATATATTGGTCATTTGTAACACGTAGGTTTGCAGAGTTTTGCAGACCTTCCAGATGTTGACATGTTTTCATTATGCACCATCAGAAAATCACTTGGGTGGTATATTGAGAAAGTTCTCTGAAATACGTGATTTTGCTTAGAATATTTTCTCATTCTTTTGTTTCTGCCTTGTGACTATTGCACTTGATATACACTCTGCAATTACTTAGGATGATGGCACTTTATAAAATCTGTTAGGCTAAGGTGGCACTAGAGTTTCCAAAGCCCGTGTCCTGATATCTTAGTTGTTTTTTGTCATTTGCTATCAGTTGTGTTTTGTCTCAGCTGGTTTGCCTCTAGAATTCCCATTTGATGGCTCGCATGTCTCCACTGAGAGTTCCCATCTGCTCACCCATTTAGAGACAGCTTTCTGGAATCTAAATGGTGTTTTGATTGCACATTCAATTTACAGGATTGGTTTTTTTTTCTTTCCCTCTGTTTTTGGGATAGGATCTCGTTCTGTAGGTCAGTGTGGTTTAGAACTGGCTATGTAGCCCAGGCTGGCCTGAGTTCAAGGTCCTCCTACCATAGACTCCTGAATGTTGAATTTGCATGCTGGTGACACCATAACTGCCTAACAATTTTTCTTTTTGAGTATGTGTTATTTTCCTGTTGGTTTATGTGTTAGATCTTTTCTTTGTGAGTGATGTATTGTAGAGATTTGGATTTTGTTATATTACTCTGTTGATTTTTAGTCTATTGAAATCCTGTCTCCCCTGCAGTGGACACTTAACACCTCTCACCTTGCCTCTGGCTGCTGCACAGGCTGGTGGGATGCCCTGTGTGCATGCATATAGTGATTCACCAAAGCTCAGTGTGACATGGTTCCAGATCTGTAGTCTGACTCAAGCTAGTGTGTCCAGTGTTGTGGGGGAGTCCTCTGCCCATGCACAGTGAGGTGCCTCAGATGCCGCTGACACCTACAGAGCTTACTCCTCTACATCTGCTCCCCTCCTGTGCTCTCCAGCCCGTGAGGTGGCATCCTCAATTACTAACTGGCGAGGCATGCTGACCCCCTCCTTTAGCTGTGACTGGTCAGCAAAAACCCTACTGATTTTGCCTCTCATGTGGTCCCTGTTGCCATCCTTGGTATCACAGCTTTCATCTGTTGCACCAGCCTCTGTAACTTTCTTACTACCCCTCTCCAGAGCAGTCTCTTGAAATGCAGTTTTCACCTGTCTTTCCCTAATGGAACCCCCCACCACGCCATGTCCTAAGCTTGCTGGGATCTGGCCTCTGCCTGTCTCTCCAGTGTTGACTTGTGGCCTCTCCCTTTGTCACACTCTAGGCTCTGGCCTCACCAGTGAGCCCTGCCCAGGACAGGGCTCTTGTTTCTGTGCCCGTGCTTTCAGACATGGCTTGGGAGCCATTTCCACAAAGTAACTTGCTCAGTCCTTCCTGATTCTTTGCCACACACTGTCCCCCACCCCCACATCTGTCTGTGCCACTTGTCTGAGTTTGTCAGGACAGGTGCTGTCTCACACAGCCATGACTTTCATAGCACTGATATCCAGTGAGAACTCAGCTATGGTTAATGGACGGTTAAATTACGGAGCCTGTGGACATCAGCCAAGAGTGAGTTGAGTTTTTGTTTTTATACTGTGTATTGAGCTTAGGCCTGACACATGCTAGGCAGGGTCTCTATCTCTTCTACTAAGTTACATCCGCAGCCTTCATTTTATTATTTTTTTCAGACAGGGTTTCTTTCTCTGTGTATAACTCACTCTGTAGGCCAGGTTGGCCTTGAACTCACACAGATCCACCTGCCTCTGCCTCCCGAGTGCTGGGATTCACCATCATGCCCAGCTACTTACTATTTTTCTGTGGCAAAGCTTCATGAAGTTAATTCAGGCTGACCTTGAACTAACTCTGTAGCCCATGCAGGCCTTGAACTTGTGATCTTCCTTCCTCAGCCTTTGGAATATCTGGGATTTCAGGCCTAGCTGTATGGAGCCTTTGTAGAGAATAGTGGAGGTTTGAAGTAGTTGTCTAAGGGTGGGAGATGAGTCTGAACAAGGCCTGAGAAGGGGTTCATTTGTATGTCTTGTTGTTTGATTTGATTGCATATGGTTTAGATAGTTTCCCTGAGTAACTTTCCTTTCTATTTTAAAATAAACATTCAGGGTTCTGGCTGACTAGAACTTCTCTTTTGATTGCAGATCCAATGGCTTTGAACAGAAGCGTTTTGCCAGGCTCGCCAGCAAGAAAGCTGTGGAGGAGCTTGCTTACAAGTGGAGTGTTGAGGACATGTAACTTCTCCAAGGCTCTGTGGTGGTGGTAGCACAGACAGCCTGACTTCCAGCTCTAATGGGTTGTCTTGCTAATAGACAGACCAGCAACTCACCGTCAGTTCTGACCTTTGGACTAGCCACCTAACCTTAGCTGTGTCCATGTTGTCTGTGGCTGGCTTTGGCAGGACACAGTGACTTCTTTATCCCAGGGTTTGTTCTTAGCCAGCGCTTTCCCTTTTATTTTTAAAAATAAACATATATTTATTTTTTTGTAATCACTTTCTAACTGGGTATTCTGCGTGGGAAAGAATTCCAGCAAATATTGAACTCTTGGGGTCTTGGGAGTATTAGTGATTGGTGTTTTCATTAATTTAGCAAGCTGTGCAAATCAGAATTGAGCGTTAACTCGGGTTCAGGAATGCTGGAACATGGTGTGTGATAAGGTAGTGAAGGTTACATGTTAGTGGGAAAGGTGGCTACTGAGGCTCAGAAACCGCTTTTTAAATGCACAACAATGAAGTGGGATCCATGTCACTCAGTCATAAAGGATGAAGTGTAGTGCGGTGAAGCTACATCATGGCTCATATGGGGGCCCTGGTTTTGTGACCCCAACAAGTAATAAAATCTGGTAGGAGTAAGTGATGGGTTGTACTCCAATGTGAAGACAGAGCTCAACCCACAGCTGTGATTGCTTTGCCTGCTACATAATGCAGGGTTCTCCTTGCAGCAAAGCTGGCCATGTCAGAGTTAAAGATGCCTTCAGAGCCTATAACAGTGATGAGGGACTGTATATGTGGAGGATCGACTGGATGACAGAACTCTACAAATCAGGAAGGAAAAGACAACTGTGAAAACAGGAGAAATAGATAATATAGATAGCCAGTAAGTGTATCCCCTCACTCCCAGTTAACTAAATGCACATTACACCATTTTGTACTCTGCAGATATTAGTGTGGCCAAAACAGCTCTCGTGGCGAACAGAAACTCAATGTCAGCTGGTGTCGCCTGAGGGCTGCAGATGGACAGCACGTACAGAAGGAAGACTGGAAGCAGAGCTGTGTGGTCTTGGAAGGGTGGGTGGGCAGTGGTGCTGTGCTGCTGGAAGCTGACTCTGGGGGGTCCTTTGCTAGCAGTGTGACCTGTGAGCTGCTTAACTGCTCTGTACCTTCTGTGAAATAGAAAAGTACCTACCTCATGGGTTTCTGTGAGTTTAAAACTGCCAGCCATACAGTGAATGTCACAAAATTCTTAGCTGTTAGTATCATTGTCTTCATTAGCATCAAGTGTGGTAGCCAGCTTCCAGGGTGGCTCTTTTGGTCCCTGCTCTCTGGTATCCAAGCCCTTGGGTAGTGCCCTCCCAGAGTAAATAGGGCTAGCTTGTTTCACCAATAGGATGTGTCAGAGCCATGTGACTTCTGAAAGTTCATGAAAGACATGGATGCACTGCCCTCTTGGATGGCTTGGCGTGGAAAAAGATGATCTCTCTGTGGATACTCCAGCAGCCCTCCAGGGGGCCATGTGAAGACAGAGGCCTTCCCCAGGCCAGCAGCAACTGGAAGCCGCCTGAGCAGGCCTTAGGGGCAGCCCTCATCTGTAACTTGACTGAAGCCTGCAAGAGCAGAGCCACTAGCTCTAGCTCTGGGACTGAAGCTGTGATAATAGATATTTAGTGTTTTCTTAAAAACAAAACAAAAAACCCTGTAGCATCGTGTGTTTCAACACATCATGGAGCTGTGCAGCCATCAGCTGTGCAGTACTTGTTATCTTGTGTATACTGGAAGTTTGTGTCCATTCCTGGTCACTCTTCACTTCCCCGACTACCTCTGCCATGGACAACTCCTGGCTTACATCTCACCTCCGGGGATTTGCTACTTTGACATTGATGTAATTTGAGTGCAACTGTTATCTAACATGGGGCTTTTTGTGTCTGGATTCTTTCATGTCACATGTTTCTAAGCTCTGTCTGTGTTGTGACATCCATTTTTTTCTTTTTGTCTGAATATTTCTTTTCTTTCTTTCTTTTTTTTTTTTTTTTTTTTTTGGGGTTTGAGTCAGGGTTTTTCAATGGAGCTTTGTAGACCAGGCTGGCCTCAAACTCACAGAGATCGGCCTGCCTCTGCCTCCTGAATTAAAGGCATGTGCCGCTGCCACCCAGTTTGACTGAATATTTCTATGTGTGTTTATTGCATACATTTTAATGATGATTTGATGGTTGCAAAGTGTTGCCACTTTTGTTATAAATATTGCTGCTATGAATAATCAATATACAAGGATATTGGGTGGGTGACTTTATTTTTTCTAGAGATAATGTATTTATGTATGTGTGCATATATATCCACACACAGACTTAGAAGTGAGATCATTAAGTTACGGGACTTAATGTTAAGTTAATATTAAGTTAAGACCCCATGTTTTAACTTGTCGAGGAACTGCCAGATATCTTCCCAAGAGTATATGAGAGTTTTCTCTGCCTCCTTGTTTGTTCTTCTGTTTTGTTACAGCTATCCTGGTGGGTGGAAGGTGGTAAATCTGTGATTTTGATTTTCATAATGGCTAATGATTTTGAGTGTCTATATCTTTATGTTAATTATGGGACCTTGCCTATTTTTCATGTATATAAAGACCCTGTATATGTATATACACATGCAAATCATATGTGTATGAATATATGTATATGTACTGTCTTAGGGTTTCTATTGCTCTGAAGAGACATTATGACCATGACAACTCTTATAAAGGAACACATTTAATTGGGGTGGCTTACATTTTCAGAGGTTTATCATCATGGCAGACATGGTGGCATGCAGGCAGACATGATGCTGGAGAAGGAGTTGAGAGTTCTGTATCCTGATCCACAGGCAGCAGGAAGAAACTGTGACCCTGGGCATAGCTTGAGCATAGGAGACCTCAAATCTTCACAGGAAGAAACTGTGACCCTGGGCATAGCTTGAGCATAGGAGACCTCAAAGCCTGTCCCCACAGTGACACACTTCCTCCAACAAGGCCACACCTCCCAATAGTGCCGCTCCCTTTGGGGGCCATTTTTTTTTCACACCACTGCATGTACACTTCCTTCTGTGCTCCCTGCCTCCCCCCTCCCTCCCTCCCTCTCTCTCTTGAGATGGTCTTGCTATATGGCTCTGGCTGTCCTGGAGTTTACGATGTAGACCAGGCTGGCCTTGAATTCATGCCTGCCTTGCCTTCTGAGTGCTGGGATTAAAGGTGTGCCACCACACTTGGCTTGTACATCTTTTCATGTAAAGAATTATTTCTGGAGTGTTGGGAGTATGGCTCAGTGGTAGAATGTTAACCTAGCTTGTGCCAGGTGTAAGCCCTGTGTTCAATACCCCAAACTACAGTAATAAAGTAGATTTCATATTTTGGTAACCAGTTCCTCACCAGATATATAATTCTCATCTGTGAGTTATTGTCAGTGCTACAACCCCTGAGGAAAGTAGTTGGCATGGGGGCGGGGGACAAACATTAATTTGCTATACAGCATTGGATATGTAAGCAGAACATGATGGCTGGTGACTGTAATCCTAGCACTGTGAGATGCCTGTAGGAGGACCAGGATCATAGGCTAGCCTGGACTATGGGAGACCTTCCTGCAAAAACAAGCAAACATGCACATGAGAGTAGTTTCATTCCTGGCCATGTCCTTTAGAGGAACTTGTATGAACTAGTTCCATATACGAACATATAAGAATATGTATAGATGGGATCAGTATGTGTAGCAGAAATCAAGAAATAAAGTAATGTAAGTACCTATTCCTAGGGGAACTGATAGGTACAAATTCATATGCTGGAATACTGGTTTTTTTTTTGTTTTTTTTTGTTTTGTTTTTAATGTCAGGCGCCAGTGAGATGGTCCAGTGATTAATAGCACTTGCTATAAAGCCTGACAACCTGAGCTTGTTCCCTGGAACCCACATGGTGGGAAGAACCTCTGTACACTCACATGCATACCTGCTTATAAACACACACACAAAATGTAACTTAAAAAAGAGCATTGAAGGCAGCCTGGGGTGGCAAGAAGTGCCCCACCCACCCTGTGACTGGTGCCACTACAAGGAACAAGTATGTGATGGAGAGATGAAAGAGAGCACACAGTGGAGAGATGGGAGAGAGAGAGAAACAGAGTGGAAGGAAGCATGTCGTGATCTTCTTCACACATTCTGGTGGCTCTACTTCAGTTGGGAACTGCGTGACCACCAAAGGCCATGTGGATGTCTATGGTCTAAGCTGCCAGCTGAAACCATGTTGATGTTCAGTGCCTTGGTGGGCTAGCCCTTCCCCTCGCCACCCACAGCACTTGGGAAAGCTGTCCCCTCCCCTCACTGGCTCACTGGACATTGTGCAGCGGTGTAGGCAGCGGCATGGAGGGGGTGGCAGGTGGAGACCCAGACTGACCGACTCAGCTACTACACAGGCCCACCTTCAGGGCTTTGAGTTGGCCCACCCCAGCACCTACCCCATCTATGAGCTGCTGGATCCTGTGAAGGGCCTGGTCCAGGGGACCCATAGCTACGTGATCTCCATGACGGGTCAATGCCAGAATATCTGAGAGGAGTCTTGGTGAGGATCCAATACTGATGGTGTACCAGAAGCCAGAGGCCTTGAAGAACCAAACCAACGACTCATTGCAATGAACATTCATTTACAAGTAAAGCTGTCTGGGCACAAGGGTATGCTGTGTGACACACCGAAACTCCCAACGTTACTATGATGAACTAATATGTGATGGAAAGACAGGAAAGATGGAGGAGCGGAGTAGTGTTAAGTACAGCAGAATTGGAGACGTGAGAGCTGTGATTGGATTGAGAGAAGACAGCAATTGATATAGGAACAGATTGTTGCCTACAGGGGGTGGGCGGCTTGATGAGTTTTGTTGTTTCGGGAGGTTTTTTTCGCACTGACACTCCAAGACTGCCAATAAAGTTAAACCTTGAATCAGAAGACAAAGCCAACATTTAGCTGGCCAGAATTAGCCATAGAGGTTTTGGAGGACCGAGATAGGTGGGCACAGGAAGTAGGGAGGGGTTTAGAAAGATGTGTGAGCTTTTTAAAGAGAGGCAGGGTCAGCTGATCGTTTCTCTGTCACTCTTTGAATCTATCAGGTATCTGATTCCTGAGTTTTTGTTTTTGTTTTTGTTTTTTTTTTCTTTAATAGAACAATGTAAGTAATCGCTTCATCTGGCGTCTAATGTGTGGTGAGATCACGGGGCCCTTTCTCCGCATGCCCCTGCGAGCCACTGGCTTTTTGTGCCAGGGGATTTCCTGTTGTGGTCTACCTGGATGCTGTGCACCCCGGCCCCAAATGCTACACTGTTGAAGCTGCTTTCGAGTTCTATAGCCGGATCTAGCTGTTGACCCCTGGCTCTGTCATTCTGGCGGCTTCCGTGCCCTTCCCACCACGCAGATTTCTCCTGCATGTCCTCCATCCAGGTGGCTTGCTTCCTTTCCTTGTGTGTTACCAGCTTTCCCTGGACCCCCTCCCCAGGCCACAGCCATGCGAGCTGGGCTGCCTCAGCACCAGCTTGAGTTTCTGCTGCTGCCGTGGCCACATACCCTCTGCTCCCAACTATACATGCAAACAATGCAGGTGCCCTCAGCCTAGCCTGCTCAGTGCTTCTGCAGCCTGGCTGCCTGGGCATCATCCCCCGCAGCTGAGCAGCTGGCTAAACCCGCCCCCAGCTCTGCCATTGCCATAGTCACTGTGAACAAACTGAAAAGTCATCAACTCTGGTGAGAAACCTGGGAATTCTTAAGGAGGGAAATAAGGGTTTTGTTTTGTTTTGTTTTTTTAGTCTTCCGTACGTCAAGAATGGGGAACAATATTACTATGCAGGGAGTTAGGACTCTGTATGGTTCCACAATGGATGGTGTGAAATTGGAAAAAAAAAAATGACATAGCTGGGATTGACATAATGTTGCTTGTAATTATTATCATTTTGGTAATTCATGTTTTATCCTTTAAAAAGTGGTTTGGTATCTGTGCCAAATATGGAAAAGTGAGTTATAGGATAAAAGCTTTAGAAAACCCTACCAATGAAACCAAGTATTCGCACACCGACAAAGGAATTTAGAGCAGAACCTACTGCATCATGTCATAATGAAAGGTTATTAGAAAACCAACCTTAAAATTAAGGTTAATTCTAGTTACCATACAAGAATGACCATAGGCATCCCCAAGGCTATGTAGAAGTTAACTGGGATCCTGTAAAAGTTTTAGATTTGAAGAGATTTAAAGAGGCAGTCATTTCAAAAGAGCTTGCAGTAATTTTTTTTTGGGGGGGGTGGGAGAAAGTAGCAACAAATATCCCCAAAGCAAGAGATTTCAGTTTATAAAAAGAATTAATTGTATTCTTCCTTGCATTGTAACACTAATTTCTGGAGCTCCTACATTCTATACTGATGCAAATAAAAGAGGAAAAGCAGGTTATGTCAGGAAAAATAAGCAAAGTGGCTCAAAGCCCTTATAATTCTGTTCAAAAGTCAGAACTATATGCTATTCTTACGGTATTATTAGATTTTCCAGACACTCTTAATATATTACTGACTCTCAATATACATAAAGAATTGTTTTAAATATTGAATCCCCTGAACTTATTCCAGTTGATTCAGAATTAATTTTGTTATTTATTGAACTACAACAAGTAATCAAAAATAGAACTCACCACCCACCCCCCCACACACACACCAGATACCTTACAGATCTACCAGGCCCTTTAGCACAAGGTAATGATGAAATTGATCAGCTAGTGGAAGTGTTAGACCCCCCTCCCCCCGAAAACTCAAGTATCTGGGGTCCCAGGCCACATTCGCGGTCACCCCAATCACCAGGCAGATTCGAGAGCTTGCTGCAAACTGCACGAGGCTTTATTGTAATTTAACGAGCTAACCCCATGTTAGCTCGGGTCTTTCACGCACCCGCCCTGGTGGATGGCCAGAAAAGACGGCTCCTAGGAGCTCCCGCACGATCTTATAGGGCAGCGTAAGGGGCGTGTCTAGGGGTACGCACAGGCTCAGGTGTGC